TAGTTACCCAAAGTTACTGACACCCTTTATACATAAATGAATGCACTAAAAATCAGATTATGGTGCCAGACCCTGACACAGCTGTAAGATGTGGTGCTCTAAGAGGCTGATCCACATCGAAAGGTTCTGGTTTGCAGCTGGAGACCTGGCTAAGTATGCTGGGCATGGCTATGTCCTTGATTCAAGGCTGGCTGAAGCCCGCAGTGGATAACAGCATTGAGACCCAGTTGGGGGTGCTCTCTGTCTCTCCATCTCTATCATTCCTGGCAAAATAAATAAACTTAAAAAAATCAGATTATTTTGGGAATAAAAGTTCTAATCTTGTAGTCATCAGAACAAATCTATGAGGTAACATTATTATTGTGCCAGTTTCACCAAGTGAGATAGCTGAAGCACAGAGAAAGTTAACAGCTTGCTCAGTGACAGACTCCCAGGTGTCAGAACCAGGCTTTGAATTCAGGCTGCATGTCTCTGTGTACTGCTTGTCCTCTTAGCCATTCCATAGACTGCCTCTCCAAAATAATAAGAAAAAGACTGACATGGACCCAAAGTACTATATCGAAGTGCTATCTAGTTATGGAATTCATTTCCTCTTTAAATGTTGGTCTTTACAAAGACCTCTATGAACTTTGGAATAAATCTCTTTTTCTTCAGTTTCAATGATTATGTATCACAGAAGATCTGACGCCTGCCATCTACAGACTTATAATGGCCCTAAGGTATAGTAGATGGTTTCCTTCCAGAACGATACCTTAAAGATAAGTACATTTGAGTCTTTAGGTCATTTAGGAATATGGTTTCTAAAAATAAATTTGAGTATTCCAGGACTAACATACACAAATCCTTTAGAATTTTAACCTCTGAAATATTTTCATATTATGCTGATTACAGCATCATTCCTTTAAAAAATACATGTATGCATTTTTATCTACTTTGATCCCTCAAGAAGCTTGGCCATTTAGTAGACCAGAAAGCTGATCTCCAAAGGCCAAAAGACCAACTTCAAGTCTTGAAGCAGCTGTGTTGACCTCAGAGGAAGTCAGGACAATTCTGGACTCCTAGCTGGAGGGCCCTCTGCACCCTTTAACAACTCACTTCCACTCCTAACTGAGAAAGTTCTAGCTGAAGATTTCAAGCCTGTAAATTCCCAGTACACTTTTAAGAAGTTGGGAACGGCTGAAAGTCATTTCACAGTAGGATTGATTTGCAGCCAGGATCAACCAGCCTTTGGCCCCATTTTTGTGTAGTTTGGATGATTCTATCATTAGATCTGCCTGTCTATATAAAATGTTTCCTGTTTGAGTTTCCTTTTTCAAATGAATGGATTTATTATCCTAGAGGAAGACTCTGCCCAGCTGATCTGAGAAGTGCAAGATGAACTACAGATTATAGATGAAATGAATTTATTTGTCCCCTGTAAACTGATAATTGTATTATTTTGTGGGAAGCAGGGGAACAGTGACACACATATTAAATGTATTTAATCAAGCATGACAGCACCGGACAGGTCTAAGAAAACATTTTCATGGAAAGAGATGCCATTTACATGGCAATATCTTATCCCAGGAGGGAAATCAAAATGGACCAAAATCTTCCATGCCAGTAAATGGAGGAGAACAAGGAGACAATTGTAGGATGAAGAAGACTGAAATGCTTTCACAGACATGGGAAAACTTGAAACTGAGGCAGGCCTGGATAGCAGTTCTGTTGCTTAACACTGACTGCACCCTTATTTATTAAACATGATCTCATATAGTCTTTGAAAGAGTCATTTGAGGTAGGTACTACTGTGTTTTCTATTTTACAGTCCCACATTACACTGCTAGGGAAAAGAAATAGAATTCAAGCCAGACTCTAAAGCACAGGCTCTTCACTGAGCACTTCTCTTGCTGCTTTGGACTGTGCAGAGGAGGAATGCTGACTATCCAGGTAGGGATGGCATACAGAAGAACTCTAAATGAAGGTGGGGAGGTGAGGATGAAAGTATGTTCTGAAGAAATTGCAGCTGGTCTGAGTGCAGTGGATGGTTTTGGAGGAAAGTTGAGGTGGATGAGATTGGAGAGTTGGGAAGGTTGAAAAATGTTACAGGAATGAAAGGTTTATACATTAATGGGTTCTGAATAGGGAAATAATCTGAAAAGAAGGAAAAACATCCTGTTTTCTTAAGAAGGTGAACTCAGCAGTCATGTGTGGATGGTCAGGAAAGAGAAAATGTTACTGAAGTCCAGGTGTAAATAATGACGACCTGGACTGGTGTAGCAATTCTCAAATTATTGGGCTTGAGCTCACCGATACTCTTTAAAATTATAGAGGTCCCTGAAGTACTTTTGTTTATGTGGATTTTTCTCTGTTAGTGTTTATTGTAGCTGAAATTAAGACTGAGAAATTTAGGAAATATTTTTAAATAATTAAAAATAACAAACCCATTATACATTAATATAAAATCAGTATTCATGAAAAAATAAAAAAATAACATGAGGCGCAACCGCAGGTGGCTGCATGCTGCTCTGCAGTGCTGGAGTCGCATGGAAGACTGGTTTGGATCCTGGGTGGGGCTGAATCTCATCAAGTGTATGCACATATGCACTGTGATCCTCATTGACTGGAAGGCTGGGGAGGATAGAGCTTAGTGTGATGAGCCCCCTTTGATGGTGCCTTTTCACTCTTTCTTCCTCTCTCTTTCTCCTTCTCATGAAGAAGATTAAAAATGAAAATAAACGTTTGGGAGGTCAGATTGTGGTGCAGCAGTAAAACATGACAACCTGTTAGGCTAATTCACATGATGCGGTTCTGAGTTCATATCGAGAGATGTCTCTGAGCAAACACACATGTGTCTGTGATCTGGGGCTGGCTGAAGCTAGCAATGGATTATGGTTTTAGGAACCCTGTTGGAGGCACTCTCTTTTTTTCTCTCTCCTTCACAGAAGAAATCAACTTTAAAACCAAAAATATAAAGGGAAAATGACATTGTTATATCCTTTCACAGATTTCTTTACGTCTGACATACAGTCTAGCCGAATTATCATACATTCGGTTGTCATATATTTGATCTGTTGTAATGTCACACACCATGTGGACTCAAAAATTCTACTGTACACTTGTGAGAGAAAGTAAAAGAGACAAATCAAGACTTAGAATTGTCATAAAAGTAGTTTTGACCTTAGGACACTCTAAAAGATCCTTGGGGGCTCCCACAGTTCTTGGGACCACAGTTTGAGACCTGCCATCTTAGAGTGTGGTGGGGAAGATGGAGAAACACAGAAAACAACACAGGGAAGCAAAACAGCATCACCTGGAGCCCAGTCAGGGCCAGGGGAACTGCACAGGAGGAATCTTATATTATCCAATACATCAAACCCAGATGACCCAGGAAAACTGCGATGCCTTTTGCAGAATGGGGAAGCCCACAGGGGAAGACAGTTTGGTGGGAAAGTTGATCATTTCTTGTTTTGGTGATATGAATGTGAACTGGCAGGAAGATACCCAAATAAATAGAGAATTCGGTCACAGAAGCTGATATAATCTTTTGTTGTTAATGAAAGTTACAATTTTAAAGCATATCTAAAAATAAAATGGAAGTACGTGCTATAACTTCAATTCATCATCTTTATGTTTGTATTTTTAAGGAGTGGAACATTAGAGAAATTAAACCATATTTGAAAGATTTGCTTCCTTAACATGAGGAGTGAATATATGAACATTTGCCGTATTGCTTTTCATACATTTTTATATGTCTGCATTAATATATTCCATTAAGAGGGTTAAAGTTTACACCAGATGCTAACCCATACAATTGTACATATGTATGTGCATGTACACACAATGCGTTTATGTTCTGTGGATCAGATTCCATCTTATTTCTAGATGCTTACGTTAGGATGAGCCATGGGGGGGGGGGTGGTAAGGAAAGAAAGAAAAAGAGAAAGAAACCTAAACTAAACTCAGACTCTTGCATCTTCTCTTTAGGTATTGAAATGCAGACTATAGGGAAAAATTTATCCCCAAGATTGGCAAAATATAGGGAAAGTGCATACTAAATAGTAAGATACAACAATATTCACAAGATATTAAAGACCCGTATTTTATTACGTGCACTTGCCAGTGATTCGTTCAGACCTGAAGTTCCTAGAGGAGTTTACAGCATCTAGAGGGAAAGTTGAAAGGGGAGGTAAAAAAGAGTTATTGTCTATGTAATAAGTTTCCAGTGGAGTCAGAGGCATCAGAAGAGCAAAGTACACGGAGATGCATCCGAGAGGAAGTAATTTCATGTTCCTGGGAAGCCATCAGGCTCGGCCTGACACTGGGGCTGGAGTAGATCTGAGTGAGCATTGACTCAGGCGCCACAAGCCTGGAGACGTGGAGAAGGTTACATATTTGCATAAGCCTAAATTTGAAATATCTGTATTGGTAATACATCGATAGTGATAGTAGTTGTGTTCTGGGATTGCAGTGAGGGTTATACAGAATAAGACCCAGTGAATGTTGGGTGCTCTTACTGTACAACACCGATCAGTAAACCTCCCTCTGTACAACACCGATCAGTAAACCTCCCTCTGTACAACACCGATCAGTAAACCTCCCTCTGCTCTCCACACTCACTCCCAGCCCACCACAATATCCACATTTCTCTTCTAGGTGACATTAAAATGCTGTTACCAGGTTGAGCTTTCTGTATTTTACCTGCTTTGATTATAATTTCAGCCACCAGGTCATGCAGTTAT